TCTCCCCAGCTCCCCACTCCCCAATGTCCCTCCCCTATTTCCCCCCAACTGACCCCAGTGTGTAGTGCTCCCCTCCCTGTGTCCATGTGTTCTCATTGTTCAACACCCGCCTATGAGTGAGAACACGCGGTGTTTGATCTTCTGCTCTTCTGTCAGTTTCCTGAGAATGATGGTTTCCAGGTTCATCCATGTCCCTACAAAGGACACGAACTCATCGTTTTTGATGGCTGCATAATATTCCATGGTGTATATGTGCCACATTTTCCCTATCCAGTCTATCGTCGATGGGCATTTGGGTTGGTTCCAGGTCTTTGCTATTGTAAACAGTGCTGCAGTGAACATTCATGTGCACGTGTCCTTATAGTAGAACGATTTGTAATCCTTGGGATATATACCCAGTAATGGGATTGCTGGGTCAAATGGAATTTCTATTTCTAGGTCCTTGAGGAATCGCCACACTGTCTTCCACAATGGTGGAACTAATTTACGCTCCCACCAACAGTGTAAAAGTGTTCCTATTTCACCACATCCTCTCCAGCATCTGTTGTTTCCAGATTTTTTAATGATCGCCATTCTAACTGGCGTGAGATGGTATCTCAATGCATTTTAGATTTGTTTTCAAATCTTTCTTTTTTGTGAATGTGAACTTAAGACTTTATTGTGTTCATAATAAAACAAAAGGTGACATTTAGGGCTGGGCATGGTGGCTCACACCTGTAATCCCAGCACTTCAGGAGGCCAAGGCTGACAGATCACCTGAGGTCAGAAGTTTGAGACCAGCCTGGCCAACATTGTAAAACCCTGTCTCTACTAGAAATAAAAATAGTAACCGATTGTAGTAAGGAGAACCTGTAATCTCAGCTACTGGGGAGGCTTCAGCAGAACAATCACTTGAATCCCCAGGAGGTGGAGGCTGCAGTGAGCTAAGATTGTACCACTGCAGTCCAGCCTGAGCAGCAGAGTGAGACTATGTCTCAAAAAAAAACCACTTAGAACTGGATCACTTGGCCCTTTTTCTTCTTATCTCCTCTTGGTTCAGAATGCTTGTATCTTTTAATAACCAGTATTTTATTAGATCTGCAGTTGGACTGGTCTCAATGCACTCAAGCCTTAGCACAATCATCTTTGTAGTTTTAGCTTTACTGCAGAAAATGGGCTTAGTCTGCTCACCAGAGTCATTCTGCTATATATCATAACACCACATTTCCCTGGGGATACAGAGAATCCTGGCACATCTTGTCTGTTGTCAGTTTGTGGGGTTGGTGCTTGCTACACTTCTCACAGAAAGTTTGGTGGGTTTTAGGAATGTTCATCATAATTGTGGGAATGCTGTTGGCATGGAAAGACTCAAATCTTTCTATTCATTCTAAGTCCAATCATCCAGCTTATTTTCTGAGTGCCCAGTGTTTATTGTGTACAACATAATGTGCCTGTCACAAAGGGGTAATATGAATTCCAACAAGGTTTCATTCCTGAAGGAATTCATACACCTGGAGATGATATCCTTCAAAATTACAAGGGCATACATTTTAAACAATATAAAGAATGAGTGTTATACACTAATTCTCTACCTTGTTATCCCCAAATTTTAGGATGAATTAGCCATAAATAGCCTTCTTTGATAAGGGTGGGACACACGATAGTATTAGAGAAGTTGAGAAGAGGTAAGGCTAATGTTCATCCTGCCTGCCATGCTCTCTGACTTGGCACAGGGCAGCTTTTGTGTGTCATAAAAGGAGGTTCCATAGAGTAACTAGAGTTTAGAAGATCATCATGAAGTGAGAAAATTAAATGCTTTATCCTGAAATTTCGAAACTACAGACTACAAATTTTTTTTACCTAATGTATTGCTTTTCTTATTAATGTATCTGAAAAGAGATTCAATGGAGAACACTGCAAAATCAATGAAAGTAGTATTAAGTATGTAAATAGAGGAAATTGGAGCTTTTCCTCATAAGATAAATATTAAACTAGCAAAAATAGAGGTATAAGTTATTTTTTAAATTATCCCTTATTCCTTGTTTTTGTGAGACTTCCTCAGTAGCCCAACTCATGTCATAGCAAAAGGAACTATTTTTAACACTTTGAGTTTTATACTTAGAGCATTACATTAATGGGGATGTATATGTAGGCTATATTATTTTGATTCACATGAGTGAAGCCAGTGTTAAAAAATAATTGCTAGAAAATGGTGGTGTTACAATTCTGAAAGTTGAGATGCACACACTAAAAGCATGTAATACAGAAGGTGTTGTGTCTCAGAGGTTTTAGAAAGGTTTTTCCAGGGGATAGTTGTATAATAATAGGAATAGAAACAAGGCAATTTGACAAGTGGAATGCTACTGTTAGTCTTCACGGAAAACATGTTGTGGACTTACAGAAAACATTGATATACTTCATTGGGATTCATCTGATTTCCTATAACTATGTACACAGTAAAACTCCTACTCTATTATGTCAATGAAAAATTTTAAATGGTATTTGATTAGTCTTTGTCCAGTTTCTGATATTTTGAGTAATGAAATATTGAAAAAGTAGTGGCATGACAAATAGTCTAAAAGAACATACTGAGTAATTACGCTTTGCAAAATGGAGTGTTTTCTAAGGTACATGGCATTATTTTAGTGCATTGAAATAGAATGTGTGTAGCCTGCTTGCAGTAGTTTTATGTAGATTTTATTGAATAATATGTGAGTGAGGGAGATATCTCTGTTTGTTTTGATTTTATGCAACACTAATTGTCCAAACTGCATAAAAAGCTGTACAAGGAACTGTAAAATTGCAGTGCTTAATGGAATCAAGTGAAGAGCATCATGTTCATGCTGGAGGACTTGAAACCATCAAGAAGGGTAGGAAATGTAACTAGAGAGGAGAAATGTGAAGTCAACCTAATTTTAAATATTGGACATTCTAAGTCAATGACAGTAAGTCTGAATGATTTGAAACATTTGCAGTCTATTGCCTAATAGGCGCTGTATATCATTTTAGAGCAAAGGTAAGTGATTTCCAAAATCAGGAGCTATCTGTCCAAGAACCTTTTTTCAGGAATGAGAGTGAAGAGTGGTGGAATTTGTTCCTATGCAAAATTCCTTACTTGCTTTTCCACTCAGTAAAGAGAATAGTTTGTAAAATTAGGGCATGTGTTTAAAGTCTCTGAGAATCCTATCAATCTTTCTGATTATGATCACAATGGAAATATAAAAGGACTTCTCCATGGAGAATCAGAGAGGTGTGTAATGTTGGGCATTGAGTTTTGTTTATAGAAAATAGCAAGATTTATTAGTTTTTCATCCATCTCATTACTCACTTTTGACAACTGGTAAGGAAGTGTACTTTAATTAAGATTCAAACTTCCTCTTACTGAATGGAGAGTGACCATGTACTAATGCTGTTTAGAAATGAGTTGGTTTAATAATAAACACATCTACAGTAATTCCGCTTAGACTCTGAATTTTAATGGACGGGAAAAACACATGTTTTACACAAACACTATTCATGATTATTATGCTTTTGTCATTGTTTATATGCATGTTTGTCATCAGTGTATCATTCTACAACACTTAGGAGGAACATAAGGAAATAGTGTTCAAAAAGAGTACCACAGAGAATTTGCCACTTTTTTCAGATAAAAATACGCCTTATAATCTTTCACATTAATGATTTTGTTTAAAAAAAGTTTCAGAATTTGTATTTATGGCTCAAAAGTTTCTAAGTCATAATAGGCCACTGATCTTACCTACAGACAGATCTTTCAAAAGAGGGGTTCAGAAACCCAAAAATTAAAAGTTGAATATACTGATATTTTTTGTTTACCAAAAATACTTTTGTATTAGAAGTATTGAAATTAGGATGCAAGGAAAGGAAGTTTAATTTTGTTTATAGGCTTTCAAGCTGAAATCTGCACAATATGAAATGTGTTAAAATATGGACCACTAAACTCTATATTACCTACTGGTATGTACTTACATCATTGGTTTGAGCTAACCTTATGTTCCAGTCTTAAAGTAACCAAAAATATTTTGACCCTCCAGTGGGGATATGCTTTTGTGAAAATATACCAGTAATTATTAAACCACATACAGTTTTTTAATATATGAAAGTATGCATTTATGGTTTTATAATACACATCCTTCTTATACTGCATGTTTCTAGTTGCCTTTCAGTGAATAGTTAGGTCATTGCTTGCTTATCTACCAGTTAAATACCTTGGATTCTGAATTGATTTGATTGTTTTTGAATTTTAAGTAAGAATAATATGTTTCATTAACTATTACTAGAATTTAATTGTGCCTTAATCACCACCTTAATTCTCTTATTCCTTTATTGAATTTCTGCCTTCATATTTAAGATGTTTTGATGATATTAAAGGATTTAGACTCTTTGGGAAGGGTGGTCTTTTTTTTAGTTTAAGAAAGTCCAGTATTAGCACAGACTTGCTTGTAATTTTCTCACTGTGATAAGAGGAAGTACGCTAAAGCCCCTACGCAAAAGGTCAAATATAGTTATTCAATTCCCACTTCTTGCCCATGGAGAAAGGAATAAGCATGATCACCAGGTCTGACTTTTTAGATGAAAATTGTTACATAAGTTTTCCAAAACATGCTGATAACAACAAACATTAAAACATGCAATGGCAAATCTTTCTGAACTTTGGTATCAGTTTCAATAATGAAGGCATTTTATTTAGCCTAAAAATTACCAGTTTAAGCAACTACATAAACACAACTGGTGTGGGGTGGGGAGTGGTTAATTTTTAACAAGTGACCTGGCCAATAAATAATTTCAAAGTCTCATTCATATTTTCTACAGTTGCACCTTCTATATCATAACTTCAGTGTTTCTAATAAACTGATAACACCAGGCTTTGCCAGGAACATCATGGGAACATAGATTTTCTTCACCAGTAACTTTCTCAAGTCATGTAAATCAGGGTTACCTTAGGTTAGTTGGGTGTTAAAAAGGCATGTCTTTTGTTATTTAGAGTTTAATTATTTCCACAGGCATGTGAGGTTAGCTGAGCAATAGCAAATGTGGCCCTTACTGTAAATTCAAGAAAATAAGTAATGGTGAATAGCTGTTTTGCCTTCTGCTGCCTGTAGACTAATTGTTTGCAAGCCTCTATCTTGAGAAGTGCTGTGTATATTGCATTCAGATTACAGATATTTTCAGCTGGTCTATATTTGGGGCTTAATGAGAAAGCATGTATGCTAAGAATTGCAGGGAGGTGTCTCTTCTAAATCTTTGAATTATGAATTCTCTGATGTAAAATATGCAGTAAAGAAAGATAATCAGTACAAATCCAAAAAGTTACCTAATTATGATTTTTAAAATATCTTAAAGTCACAGAAATTACATTTGCTTCTACTGTTATAGATTCCTTGGCTTTAACAAAGCTTCTAAAGACAGGGGACTATCTCTCTATAACTTTTCCATTATAATTGGTGCTAAATTTAAATGAATTATCTCTAAATTTTGTAGTTATCAAATTCCAAAGTTTAGTTTAGGTATGGTGGGTAAATGATTGCTAACTCCTTGCCTCCTCAGTTTCTTTCTTTCTTTCTTTGTTTTTTGATAAATTTAAGGCAGTACAATTTTGTTGGATGCATATGTTGTGAAGTGGTGAAGTCTTGACTTTCAGTGTATCTAAATAGTGTACATTGTACCCATTATGTAATTTCTCATCAATTTCTCCCTCCCTCACTTCCAAGTCTCTGATGTCTGTCATCCTCTTCTTTGTTCATGTGTACACATTATTCAGCTCCTACTAATAACTGAAATCTTGGTATGTGAGTTTCTGTTTGAGTTGTTTCACTTAAGATAATGGCCTCTGGTTCCACTCATGTTGCTGCAAAAATCTAAGAATTTTAATAGGTTTATATTACTTGGATATTCATTTGAATTCATAGTAACTTTTCCCTTAATTCAATTGTCATATTGTTGCTAATGCTTGTAACATTTTAGATGGAAGTGTGTAAAAAAATTCTGTCCAAACTACCAAATTCATTTAAAATTTTAAAAAGGAAAATGTAGAGTAATGTGTGTAAATTGCAGAATTATAACTGTTAACTAAATTGAAAATTTTTAATGAGCTGGGAAATAAAATGCTTGCCAGTTTGCTAAAAAACATAGAAGTGCAAGTTTTAATTTCCTCTCTAAATTTTTAACCAATATTCTGAAAATTTTGAATACAGTGATCGTTGTTTTTGTAACATGAATTAATACATATGTGAAATCTTTATGTAGAAGTGTTACTATATGGATTTCAGTATTTTGCTTCCTGAACAATATTTTATGATGATTTAAAATGAAGCCTTGCACGTCAGTTTCAGGTACATTTATTGGAGGAAGATCAAGGCAAAGTGGTTTTTCAGGCAGTTGAATTAATTGATTAACTAATTGGTCTATCAGTTGGGACTTTTTAATTGCAAATGTCAGAAACACAACATAAAGTGGTTTAAAAATATAACTGAAAACATCTGAGATAATGGCTTATGGCTTTGTGAAATCCCTGTCTATACCACATAATTTGGTTCTTTATTCTCAGGTGGTTTTCTAAATAATATGAAACATACACTATATAATTTACTGCTCCCACTTTATATTTTATGTTTTGTAAATTCAGAGGAAAGAGAGTGCCTCTATCCCAATATTTTCACTGAAAACCATAGTTCTAACTCTTATTAAGCCTGTTATAAAATATATCTTCATTTTCAGATTCAATTACTGTGGCCCATGTGAATGTACTTTGTATTAATCAGGCCTACTTAACTTGTCCACACCTGGAACCAGGTCAGCCCCACCCAAACTCCATGAATGAGAATAAGGGAGGGGTGTATTCCCCACAGGATGGGGAACAGATGTTGGATACACCCAAACAATAGATCGTTGTGTTTATTATTTTTGGCAGTTTTCCTCTTTAGCAAATGAGTAAGATAAAGACACTAAAGATTTGTGCCCAAATTATGTAAAATTTGGATACTTGTTTATTAATAATTAGCTGTGGAATTGTAAAGGGTCAGATTTTCAGGGAACCTTAAAGTGTAGCTAGATAAGACCCTTAAAATATTGCCAACCATAGTTATTTTTAACCACTTGTGAAATACACTGTAAGTAACATACACTAAAAATAATTCTAAAATTTGATATTTGTTGTAATAATAATTAGGATAATAGTAATACCCGTTGGTCTCATCTTTGTTCCAGTATATTCCCTAGGTGAGGAAGGAAAGGGTAGGTCACATCATCTACATCATTTCTTTTCTTCGTTGCATTAGGAAGAATTGAGCTGAGAACTACTATTCTGCCATACCTGTCAGCCTCGCCAAAATTGTCTTTGTTTTTTTTTTTTTTTTTTTTTAACAAAAAATAGTTTTATACTGTTTTCATCATAATGCTTAGCTTTGGCTTTCTTTATCATATTGGTGTCTTTCCAGATGTGCTTCAGTATGTATTGAGCCTGAATTGACCCTGCCCATCTCCCACTCAAGCATTCCCTGTCACTCTTCCTGCTTTTTCTCTATAACAGTTCAACACAATTTGGCACAAAATGCTTTACTTATTCATGCTGATTGTCTTCTTTCTAGAATATGAAGCCAAAGAAGACAGAATGTTTTTGTCTGGTTCACCACTTTATTTCTAGCACTGGCATGGTGCCTGTTGTAGTGTAGGCCCTCAGTGACTATTGAGTGACCAATATGTAAAGTGCAAAAATGAACAAACACTTGGAAGCTGTATCAGGACATCATAGATTTGAGTAGTAGTATTTTTTTGTTTAATGTACTACTCTAATGGTTTCAGTTTACACTATAGATACTGTGTTCCTGAAAATATGTAAAATATTACCAGAATAGTGGTTAAATTATTTATATATAGTTTCAAGTTATGGAGGTAAAAGTTAATAAATTACAAATTGCAGGCTATTATCATTCACAAACGTAAGTACAAATGATTTATCCTAGGAATTCAGAGATAGTTTAATATTAAAAATTCAGCTGTGGTAATTTACCATACGTTTAAGTTAAAGAAAAGTTGGTGACATCCTCTCAATAGTTTGAGAGAAGATGTGATAAAATTCAGCACCAATAATGATAAACTCTTAGCAAATTAAAGTGTCTTGGTGAAGTTATGATCCAAAAATCTAATTTGAACATCAACCATAATGTGTTAGGAACATTACCTTTAAAACAAAGAACAAGAAAAGAATGGCTATAATCACCATTTCTATTGAACTTGGTACTGGATGCTCTAACTAGCACACTCAGATAAAAGAGAAGTAAACGAATAAAGGATTAGAAAGTAAGAAACAGTCATTATTTTCAAATAACACAATTATTTAAGAACTCAAAAGTTTTGCACATACCATCAACATACTGTTGCAGCTTTTTTATTCCTGTAATTCAGCAGGCAGGAGTGTTACAGCTGTTTTATTCCCACTGCCCTGCAGCTCAGTGAGCAGGAGCATTAGCAACTGTTTCACTCCGACATTTCAGCAAGTTGCAGGTTCTTTTCCCACAACCAAGAGGAATAAGGTACTGGGACATTGGAGAAGGGGGTAAGGCAGGGTAAAATATATTGAGCGAAAGACAAGCTCTCGACACAAGAGGGGACCCGAAAGTGAGTAGTTGTTTTTGAGGCTAGTCTGTGGTTTAAATGGACTTTGAATGGGGGAATGTGTGCCATTTAGTTTATGGATGGGCTTGGAAAAGACACCATTTGATTGGTTAAAAGGCATCATTCAGAAAGAACCAATTGAGAGAAAGTGAGTAAGATGGTGATGGAAGTTCTTACTCTGGTTCATGAATTCTGTCTGTAACTTGTAGGGTGGTTTTCCAGGCTTTAGGATGTCCTTGGCTTGAAGGTAGAGTTTCACTGGGGACCTGCCCCTGTCTGCCTAGGAATTTGTCTGTCTACTGTCACTATCAATACTTAGATGTTTTTATTTCAACATAAATGTGACAAACTTAGAAGATCCAAATGCTGTGTTTTATGAAATTGAATCAAACTAAATGACGTATGTGTGTACCTTTGATCTCTCCTTTCATCTTAAGAGATATGTGACTATTTTAATTCATTTTCCTTGCAGTAAATTTGACATTTTCATGTATTCATATGTGTTATACTTTTCTTCATTATTAGACATAGCTCAAAAATACTAAGGAAAAATGCTTATTAAAAAAACATAAGAATAGGACTCCTTTTGGATTGGAAGAATTCAGTGTATCTGGTAGAGTGTTAAGAACAGTTTTTAATACCTACGTATTAGGTATTTTTTTCAGGTTTCTACATGTTTTCTCACCACATTACCGTGTGAAAATTCATTGTCTGTTAGGTTTGCATTGTTGCTTAAGGGAATTGATGATATGCCAATTTAATACTCTTTCACAGTACTAGGCATTTAAATGTACCCAATGCTTACACTTTATAAAAAGCCTTGTGAGAAGTTTTTGACTTCAAATTTCTTGTAAACAGATTTTCATTGACTTGTAAAAAATCTTAAGACATCATAAGGTAGCTGCAGGTTGATTAATTATAGAGTGACTAAAAATCAAATTAGGCAGCAACATATATTTTTAATTGGACTTTTATGTGTCAGGTTATTCCAGTGTTTTAAATTTGTAGGCATGTGAATGCCATGCAGACAATATTTAATTTAGATCATGCATGTAGTACTCCCACATGATCATTGTAGATGTTGCTATTATTGTAAATAAATACTATTGATGTAATAAAACTTTTTGGAATACTTTACATATTTGCGGTTTGTAGTCTAACATTTCCAATTTCTGGTGTGAGAGAATGCTTTCCAACGTGAATCACTTTGATGAAGACTAAGTCACTTGGTGTGTAAGCATAACCACTTTGCTTCTTGCATAAGAACTCCTGAGAGGTGATTGAAGTTTATATTTTTTGGAAAAAAGCAGTAACGTCCACAGGAGCAAAGTCACTTTTCGAAGTTTACAGATCTGACAGGGCAAAGTGGCTGATGCCAGTAATCCCAGCAGTTTGGGAGACTGAAGCAGGTGGATCACCTGAGATCATGAGTTTGAGACCAGCTTGGCCAACATGGTAAAACCCTGCCTCTACTAAAAACACAGAAATTAGCTGGTTGTGGTGGTGCCTGCCTGTAATCCCAGCTACTCGGGAGGCTGAGGCAGGAGAATTGCTGGAACTAAGGAGGCAGAGGTTGCAGTGAGCTGAGATCACACCATTACACTCCAGCCTGGGTGACAAGAGCAAAACTCCATCTCAAAAAATAAAATAAAAAAAAAAATGGCTACAGATCTGAAGGCATTGGTTTTGCAATATATTAGAGTGGAATGTCTGATTATCTTGAGTCCATGTTATTTACAAAATCTGGAAACCAGTTACCCCATTAAGGATTTTGCTGTAGTGAATTATCTAGCCAGTGCAAAGATATGTCAAGTGAGAAAATTCTTTATTAAATATGTTTAAAGTGAACTTTCGGTTTGTGTGTATGCACAGGAGGCATGCAAATTCTACATAGAAATGAGATTTAGGAGAATTTTAATGGTAATAAAAAATGACTATGGGATTAATTTTTTTGAGGAGGGCTCATCCCGCAGAGTTGGTATTTAGAATCACTCTAAATAGTGTGTAAAAGGCATGTAAATGTTTTAGTTCTTTTATTATCCACTTTATTGGAAAATTTTATTCTATGATAATACAGACTTTTTTAAAATAATTTTTTTGGACATGTCCTTTACTCATGTGAGAGGCATTAATTACTATGAAAGATAAACAAAGGCAGACATTGATTAAAGTGGTGAAAACAGATTTTAGTAACTACTGATAGGGTAAAGAGTGGAGCTTCCTTCTGATTTGTGCAGAAGTGGTCATTTTTAAAGGAGCATGAAGGGGTGGGGGGCAGAATATTTAAAATTCCCACGTGACTGTAATGTGCAGCCAGAGTTGGGAACCACTGGTCCAGTTAGACCCTTCAGCTAGCCATCAGGGATCCAAATCAAAGCTTCTCAATGTATTGGGAGTCTGGGAGAGAGCAACACTCCAGTAAAAAATTACAAAGGATTGGTCAGTGTGAATGTGTTTAGGCTAGTTGTGTATGTTATCTGGTAATCAAAGAAGTTAAGATTCTGTTTACCCACAGAGACTAGGAGACAAAGGTTCCTATTCTACCTGATGGAGTTTGGTTCCTTCTAGTGCAGCAATTCGAATGGAATCATTATGTGTTGGAAGTTCTATAGTTCTTACTACTTTATATTATATAAAATTCAGATGAAAGAACTTACTCGTTTTTGCCTAGCATTTTCAGAGGCAGAGGCAAGAAGGATTGCTTGAGCCCAGGAGTTTAAGATCAGCTAGGGCAAGATGGTGAAACTGGTTCTTTAAAAAAAAAAAAAAAAAAAAAAAATGAGCTGCGCAGGTGTGGTTGTGCATACTTGTCATCCAAGCTACACTGGAGGCGAAAGCCAGAGGATAGCTTGAGTTCAGGAATCTGAGGCTGCAGTAAGCCATGACTGATTACACCATTACACTCTAGCCTGGGCAACGGAGGAGACCCTGACTGGAAAAAAAAAAAAAAAAATTACTGATTCTTTTCATGGTTTCAAGTATGTTTGGCTTTTTAAACTTACTCTTTGAGAAAGTATATTCACATGATTTTAAACTTAAATCACATATACTTAAAGCCATTGTGGCCCTATCCACCTAGTCCTCATATTCCACCCTGATTCCCAGGTGTGCAGCTTGGTTTCATAACTAGGTTTTCCTTCTTGCCCTCTAGCATTCTTCAGGTTCACAGTGGTGTATTCATGATGTAGGTGTGCCATGTATATCATGTTTATCCTATTCTGCTTGACCTGGGTTTGGGTAGATTTCTGCCTTTTTTTTTTTTTTTTTTTAAGGGTTTTTCCCAACCTGTTGTCATGTTGTCAGATGAACAAAGCACCTGTTGTATTTTACTAAAATATGAGTGTCAGCATTTGAGTAATCAACAGGGCTTGCTTATTTTGTGTATGAAAATAATATACATCATTAGATTATGAAAAAAACATTAGTATGGAAAGAACAACAAAACTCAAAGTGATCTAGGTGGCTTCATTATCTCAGTTATTTAGGGAAGTAAAAAAAACTGAGAGTGATTATGGCTTTCATGGCACCAGAACGTTTGATGTGATAGAAACAGGCCTTGCCACCTAATTAGGGAAGATGGTTCTTTTGGTTCAGACTATGAGTGAGTCCTGCTGTTCTTAAGTCTCAAACCTGAGTGTCTTTCTCTAGATAGTATAACATGTTCTAGAAAGGCTAAAAGTTCTCTGACGTTCAGTTTGTCTTTGAATTTGTTAGCTACATTACTCGGAAACACTACAACATTTCTCTTGAATGCACTTTTGTTAGTATCTACAGTGTGTTTTCTGTCATCCTAGTTGAAGATAATCTCACTATTTCTGATTGTATATTTTATTTTCTTCACATAAGTAGCCTAGCAAAGCTTCTAAATTACAGGCATTCATTAAAATTAGTTATTCATAGAATATGGAAAGAAGACATACTTTTTTAAGCACGGTGTGCACCAGGCACTTTCATATAAACTTACAGAAACTTTAGGATAGCCACAGGAAGTGGGAATTGATAGCTCTAACATATGCTGGTGAGGAACCCAGCCCCAGAAACTCAAGTAACTTCACATACGTAAGCTAATAGGTGATTGAACTAGATTTGTACCTCAGATGCACAACTGTGTTTACATGCTCAGTGAGGCTTTAGCAGAAGAACTTCTTAAAGTAAAAAAAAAGTGTATATATTTTATATATCTCTATACATGTTTGTGTATATATATATACACACTATATGTATACACATATGTATGCTCAAAATAAAATGAAAGCCATGTTACATTATTAATATTTAGTGAGCTTTGGCTTTATGCTAAGAAGCAATCTCATTTCCATTAATCTTCAGATTATTTCATGATCTTATCTTCTCTCCTTGGCTTTTTGGGAATGGGATGCTGTGGGGAATGGGGATTAGCAGGGCCTTTCCTCAGCTTTGGATGCAGAGGAACCAAAGGAATCTGACCTGGGTGTGCTTGGAAACCACGACAGCCTTTATTATCAGTTATTCTGGAGCAATTCAGAACAAGAAATGGACCTGAGCAGATGGTCTGTAATCATGATGGCAAGAATGGATGGGCAGGTGTGGGGGAGGGACTTGGAGATCAGAGTCTTCTAAAGAGATTCCTTGCAAAGAAGGCATATGAAAGGAAAGAAGCTTTTTGTAATGGAGCAGCCACAGCCTGGCCCCAAACACAGGAAGGAAGATATGAAAGTTGCTTGATTAGCTCAGGTATTGCTGCACTTTCTTAGACTATATCTTCTGGACAGAGGGAAGCTGAGGATTCCACAGGACTTCTAAATAGGGAATCTGAGACCCTTCCCAGCTCTTCTGTGAAATGCCTGTCTCCGTACAGTTAGATCTGATATTGGTTGCAGTGTCATCAAGATACAGATAGATTGTTTGCTGGGCTACCTCAATCAGCTACAGTGGTGTAAGGAAGAGAGGGACAAATCTTTCAGTGAAGTATTAAGAGAGAGAGTCAATTTAAATATCAACTGTTTTTCAAAAAAGCAAAATCTTGACGGAAATACTTGGTTTTAGAAGGAATAGTTCTTTGACACTTGCTTTGTTTCATTGCCAGAATTGGCTTAGTGGGATACATTCCAGAGGGAACTAGAGAGCTGTAACACTGCTTTTTTGATAATGCCCACCATAATTATCTGCACATCTTAAGTACCTTTGCTTCAAGGCATCATTGTGTGGTTTACTTTGATTTGGGTTGCGCTCCAAATTGTAATTATATAAAGAACATTGTAAACAGAGTTTCTTATGCCTTTTTTTAAAAAAATTTACCACTATGATTCCTGGTGGGGTGAGGCAATAATGGTGGTATTGCAGGAACCTCTCGGAATGATCTGGGGAATTGTTTCAAGCTGCAAAAGTGCCCACTCCAAACTCTTGTGCTAGTTATTCCAAGACGCCACCTCCGAACAATATTCATGCAAATGTCACATCCTTTGTGTTAAGGAAGAAAAACCAAAATACCAAAAACAAGGTTTTAAACTCACTAGAGCATAATTTCCGAAGTTCACACAAGTTTCCAGAGTTTTAATTTAGATCCTGCTACTCCTTTGTTGAGTTTG